ATACCGAAGAAAACTATACCACGTGAAAAAGTGTTACCACTTTCAGAGTTCGCGTGCCCAGTTTAGACAAGAGAGGTTCTGATATGCTCGTCACTATGTATGCTTTAAACTATTACGGGCTCACCTAAGTCGATAAACGAGAACGAGACAATGAACCAGAGTCCAGGTAGGCTACTCTGATCCGTTGACCCAAACTAACTGAAGGAAAAGTCTTTAAATGGCATAGAAAGTATATTCTACCCAGCAAGCACAATGAATTCAAGCACAAAAATCACGTTTACTTATACACCATGGAAACTTCCTTGGGAGAGTCACAAAAATAGCACACCAAAATAACAGTTACCAATCGCAGCTAAGGATCTTCCTGGTGGGAAATGTGATCTCAACGTCAACCGATCTGTCCATGAATGAAATCTAAAATGAGGAAATTAATGACGCGAGTTCTGAGGATCTAACATTGCTATTACTACTCACTTATTTAATAGCGTGCGATCTTAGGGTTGACTTGCATTTTGAGTGTTGTTCGTCGCCATCTGAGAGGATACCTTCCGAAATAGAGATCAGCTTGTGGCTAAGTTTCTTCTCGTATTGAGGCTGCCGGTAGCTTGAAGGTATCTAGCAGGATATCAAGGAGAACATTCGCTCCTGTTGGTGGACGATCCGGAGTTGGCCGTTTGTTCATCTTATTTTGATGGCGTGACCACCTTCCGCCCCCTGCCTCTACTTCGTACATAACTCGCCCAAATTTTCCGACCATTTACGCTTCTGTCCGAGGACCATGATTTGTTATGTAGCCGTTGTCAGGTGCTCTGTATGTACATATCAGGAATAGACTATGATTTAGAATACAGACTGACATCCATACTGATTAAGGTAACCTACTGTAGACACTGTCTTCATCTTTGTTGGCTTTTCAGGCAACTGAAGGCAGAAACAAGACAGCAAATGCCACGCTTGATTTCTCTAGCACAAGCGATAGAAGTGATAGTTCAAACTATTTGATTCTGAGTAAGACAATGAAGGAGAGCATCATGTTTCAGTGACAAGTATTAAGAAAGGTATGGATAGTGAAGCAAAATCATTGATAATTACCAAGTTTAAAAATGAAGTGTACAGTGTGAAATCCGATAACATCTTTATCTACGTGATGACTGTTAATAGTGACTAGGCTATGGTCTAGTTTCAGTGCTTGATCGTATGAGCCATGGCTTGAACAAGTCGTAGACCGAGTAGGACTATCGGCATTTGTAAACCGAAAATTTATAATCTCAGTAAATTAAACTTATTCGATGAAATTGATTCGGAAGAGATAGTTGAGAAAGTCAACTGCTTGCTAGAGTTGAGCGGTAGACATTATTTGCAAGCAGGGAGTTTGATTTCTCAGTATGCTTAGTTTGACGAGGTGATGAAAAATTATCATCTATATCATCAGCTGAATTATTACTCAATTGAATTTGTTTTGAACTTGACCTATTTTCTGTGTATTGATAATTTTATTTAGATTTTCAAACTACTAACAAATTTGCAGTAGACGTTCATAGAATCAAAGCAAAAACATCAAGATCCAAGTATGAAAAGAAACTTTTGAAATCAGTGGCTAAAATATATTTCATCAAGTTAAATTCAATAATTCCGTTTCTAAAGATCGTAAATGGAAACAATCATTTTCTTTCTATAAATTTCAACAGTTTAACAAGAAGATTTGGTTGATCTGATCAATATATATATAGTTAGTCATTTCTGGGTTTCAATTTTGAAGTCACTGCAAATAAAATCATAATGAGAAGTAAATTGTGAATTCCATAAAGAAGTGATAAATTAAAAATAAAATCATTAGATTATTGCTTTTTGTTAATTATATGTTGAAGGCGGCTTTTCTGCATTGAATTTACATATTTTCACCTTTAATTTATTCTTCACCTTGAGTTGGTGCATTTTTTTCTATCATATTTCTATAAATACTTCCATAAATACTTTTCAAATGAAATAAAATAACCTTTACACTTTGATTATTCTTATTTATTATTGAATGTTGTTGTTATTTTCAACAGACAGTGTGTCATACAAGGGCCTTCCAAAATATTCACTCCAAATTTCTTTTGTCATATGCTTTGAATTTCGCTCACGGACGATTTGCAACATATTCAGCATTGTTTGTAGAGTTTCTTTCAATCAAACAGTGCCGAGTACTGTTTCTCTACTGCGTGAATTTCTAGTATAAATCGATATCAGTTTAGTCATTGTCAAGTAACACGTTTTGGTGAATAGAATTCTGAATGAAATAAGTATTTGAAGTCGAGGACCCATTAAGTTCCATGGTTCATAAAAACACGTAACGTAACAAACCGTAGCGAAGCCATATTGACTTCATAAATTTCAGTAACTTTTCAATGTTATGAATTTCTCTATCACCATCGATTTCAATAAGGTCACATAATACACAATTTTATCAGACAGGTATTAAGAATAGTTTTATCAATTGCATTGTTCATAACTTTTAAGAAAAATAATTATTACCAACTTAATGAGGTTTGGTATGTGCATTTTTAACTCCCTACAGATAACACAAATTGATGTAATTGACTTCGTTCTGTTTTGAATGATTTCCAGTCAAAATTCCTACCGACCAAAGCAAAACGGCCTAATGAATTTTGAGCATTATATCATTAGATGTGATGATAATGATTACCGAATTAATACTGAATGTAGACTAATTAAACTTTGATGTTGTATTGGGTAACATCATATTCACTCAATTAATTACACTACCTAATTTATCAAAGAATTTGAACAAATGATTGTACGTTGTACATTTATTGCGGTATATCGTAGCAGCAATTCATATATGAACAATATTCTCTTTAAAAACTACAACTAATCAAAGATGCTTCTTACTTAGAAATTAGTGACAAAGTCTAATCATGTCTCTAAAGTAATTGGCTTCATGCGAGCACTTGTACTAGTAAAAGCCGTTCGTAAATGTAAGTTCAAGCACGGTATTTTTTACTACATTTAGGAAAAGTACAATTTTGTACAGGATGGTCATGTTAAATGAATGCTGTGAGTTTGTGCTTAACAGCCTTGTCGTTCCATTACTTCAGTAGTAAGTCATTTATGAGCTGCAGTGACTGAACAAAGATTTTCTTAAAACATATTTGTTGTGTACTGCCTTAACATAATTCATGTGATTGATCACAAACTCGCCTGGAAAGCCAATTATTTAAGTAACGATCAGGAGAACATTTAAACACTTTTCAATAACATCTACAGAACAAATCAGATCAATACAGTGAGATTTTCGCTTTTGCGTAATTGTACATTGTAGATGAAGAATGAATGAATGATTTCTGTCAAACTGATTTTGAATTTTCATGTATAACAATGTTCAACGCTCTACCATATCTTACTTACTTTGGTACATGATTCACATGTATGATTACTGTATACAAATTGAACTATGAAAACTTATCTCAAAATATTGAACTTCTAATTGAAACAAGTTGTACAAACATTATCATGAACGTTTCTGTCCATCTGACGTTTAGCTAGTAATACTCAATGTTACAAACTTATTGCATGTTGTGATTGTCAGAAGATACACTACAAAGCAGAGTTTAAGTGGCTTGAGAATTTTCCACGTTAGCGTTGTTTCCGACGGTTAGTTAAATATCAGTAACTTTTGAAGAGCTCCAAAGGGAGTTTCTTCGGTAGATATTCTTGCGTTATTCAAATGTGTGAATCACGAAATTGCATGCATGTAATCTTGGTCACACACCGCCTAAACTTGTGATTTATCAGTGTTCATTTGACTTGTCTTCTAATTTACTTTATGTCTACAGAATGGTGAGACTCATCCTCACTTAATTTCCCCGTATGTATGACACGAATTCCTGGTCTGCATATCAATTCCCAGTTAAACAACCCCCCAGTAATCAAGTAAGTACACACGTTCTTGGATCTTCATACAATTAAAGTTGGTGTAAATCAAAGTAGGTGGATATGTTTGTGTGAACAATTAACACTTTTTATACTATCATGGTAGAACATTATCTTTTACATTTCTGAACAAAATTATTATCTCATAATCGTTAAAACTGTTATCTGACTTGTATTTGACACTTAAGAACCTCTCATCATTTTTGAAACCTTCATTGAATAATTCAAGATTCCTCTCATTTATTATGGGCTACCTGATATGAAGCGGAGTGATTTCGATGGTATGCTTTTGGTAACTGACTTAATTGGAAAGTGTTTAGTTCGCTGGACAGTTTTCAATTTTTACTGACCCAGTGGTTTTCCCTCTTGATAATAACTTGGAGAATTCGTTCTAATATTCATTTGAGGAATTCACCATTTTACTCACAGCTAAATACTTGTAGAAGCTAATGAATAGGGATTATTCATATGAACAAAACAGTTTTCTATTATTCCGACCCTTATTTATTGTCGACGTTAATCTTTTCATGTCTTTTAGTGAGTATCACTTTGATACAACGTATGTAGACAGGTTGCGTTTAAACTGGTCAGTACTATCATGTTGAGATTGTGACCCAGAAAATAAATGAACTTGTTTGTTGGTAGATATTATTGCCTTATTCAAATGTGTCAGTCAATAAATTGGATCAAACCAAACTTAGTCACACAATACGGTCAGTGAAAAGTGAACCGTAAATGCATACATTCGCATCGCACAATATTAAACACTCACAGAGTTATTTTTCATCATTACAAAGGCTCAACTTAATCTACTAATTGCTGATGAACTTTGTTGCATTTTGAAGATCGAATACTTAAAGTACATTTCGTGTTGAATTTGGCACAATCAACAACTTTAAAAGGTTATCTTCAAGTGTAACTGACTTCGGGTATTGACAAGATGTGAAATTGTGCACTAACTTCTAATTATTTTGGTTAATCATGCAGAGTGAGATACGATGTTATCGATCTGTACGCATTTAGAAAATCGTAGACAAGAAACAAATGATTCTGCGAAAGTAAAACTCTGAATTAACCAAGTTTATATTGATCCCTGAATACACGGTTTAATTAAAGAAGCTGAGTGAAAAATTAAATTATGAACAGGGCAAAATATGTGTAGAAATAATGAATAAATACTTCTCTGTATAAAAGTAGATTTCCGATGTTCTTTGTTGAACGTTTTCAGTGGGTAGTGTAATTTCTGTTCGTATTTATGTACACCAACATATATATTATTTGTTATGTAATTCTATTCATATTCACCTCGGTTTATAGCGACTAGAACACATACTGAGAATATCATGGAAATAATTTGTATCAAGGCAAGCAGAAACACGCTAATTATGATAGACTCCAAGTAATTCCGGCCTTTTTGACTGACTATTTGTATGCATCCCTGAAACGAAGAGCATATTATTGTTAAAAGAATGGTTTTAATAAGGAATAAGTTTGATTGACTTCTATCAAAATAAACTGCATCAACATATTGAAAAATTGTGTTATACTGGTTGTTATGTTCGGAAATTCCAGATTATATTTACGGTTTAGGGATTGCTTGTCGTGCATATTTGTTTCATTCAAGAATCAAAAGTGATATAAAACTGAAAGCATGAAATTTTCAGGATGAAAAGGAAGATTACACAGTCTTTTAATTCCAACATTTTTGAAAAAGAAATTGTAAACTTTCTAAACCTTAACAAATTTTACGGAGAATCACTGCTTACAAGAATTATTTCGAGATCTAATTTCGTTAACACTATGTACCATAAGTGAACCGTTGTGATGCAGGTTATAAATTATAGGGTTAATTATGGAAGGAGAGGATAAAATAATATCTATGGTCATTTACTGTCTTATTCTTAAATAGATCATCTCAGGCGATGGTCAAATAAGTAACTTCTGCCTGTTAGACAGTTGCCGAAATATCGTAATGAAGTTCTTACAAAGTCCGTATTGGGCAGCAAACTAGGAGAAACTTGCTATAGTTGAACAAGTTTTCATGACAACGAGACGTATGTAGGCAGTTTGTGGAGAGATACGAAATATACTGAATGCATATTATTCAATCTCAATTTTGATGTTGGCTTTATTTCAATTTACAAGCTGGGCCAACTGAATTCACCAATATTAACATAATCGCGTCTTCCGGAAACTTTCTCTACTCTGGGCATAAGTTCAAAAATTTAGGCACGACACCAGACCTGCTGCTCATCTGACAATAAAGTAAAATATGGGTCAGTTACTAAGTCTGATCTTTGAATATGACACGCATCGGTATATTTTTAAGCACAAAATCTTGATTACGTTTATTCTCGTTTTGCAGGCTGTGGTGTAAGACTGAAAACTCTTCTACTTTTTCATACAGATGACCTTAAAAAGGCGAGCGTGTAAAGAATAACTTTCATAAAAGATTGATGTGATGTAATCTAAACACTACTTTCGTAAACAGAGACACATGTCAAAAGCTGATCAATCCGGTTACGTTCTTGTCATTCCAGGTAGTGATAATTACAAAACTACAAATAAACCTATCCAACTTGTTTCAAGTCGTAGTGGTTTACGAATCCTACGTAAGTGTGATTTTAAAAGCACAGCTCACCATCATTTAGTTTCAAGCACAGATTTCAAACAAACACGGATTTTAAAAAGCACATTACGGAAGCATTAAAATTACACACTCACCTTCATCTACAGAGAAATAGAGAATCGCGGAGAAGCAAGCCCTAAAAATTTTGAAAACTTCTCTATGGAAGATGGATTTTGTTCTCCTGTGGCAGTTTAAAGACTGGTACGCCTAATGTTAGCCATCATAACTCTACTACTTCCCCCAACTATGTGTAAGCAACTTTCTTAGTTTGAACGTATATTGAGGCTTTTTCTCAACCAACTAACCCAAAACAAGTCAAATGATAAGGTGAGTTCAAACATCCAGAAATGATCGTGTTCCCGGAAACTACACGGTTCTGTGTATAGGTGAAATTTTTTTAAATATGCTGCAAACGTATTTCGTGTATCTAGGTTTAATTGACTTGGCGGGAAGAGAATGTTATTATTCTTGAAAGGAGTGAATATATCGCATCACCTTTTAACCAGAAAATTAAAAGTATCGGTTGGAGTAGGTTTCCTTCATGTTTTCCGTCGGACTTATTGTCCTTCAAGTTTTGGTTACACACCTGTTGGTTGTATTACGTTCTTAATATAATCAAGTGTTTCCCTGTTGAAATAAAGTTGGAAGTGACTTTGAAGAAATAAAAGTATTAATATACTTCAAAATTATCGCCAGTGAACAATTCGATTCACAGGCGTTTCTGTGTTTCCGCTTCTGCACTTTTAACATGAATATTTTTATGTTTGATTGACGTTATTTTTGGTGAGAATACTTATTACTTGGTTTTGTTAAGTATCTTAAATTGGTTCACTAATATCATAAATTAAGCTCGAGCAAATAAAATGTATAAATCTCAGACTTTCAGACAAAATTTACATGAAAACTAACCATTGTGAATTGTAGGTCATTATCGTAGCACGATTTGGGTAACGAATCTCCATAATCTGCAGGGGATTTAGCACCACAACATTGTAGCTGTAAAGTCTGGATAACAATTAATTAAACTCACTGTTTTTTGAATTGAATCAAGAGCATTTTTAACATGCTCGTCTTCGTTGTACACTTTGACGAATTCTGTTAATTCATCAGTAACGTATTTTGTGAACTATAACAATTGCGTCTGCAAACTAAACCTTACTTTGGACCTTTCTGTGAGCGCAAATATTCCTACGGCTATTTCGAAAATGATTAAAATTAACAACAGTACACAGTGCTACAAGGATTTCATAATTGTGTATATATATTCCTACCATATTCAATAAGCAAACATTCTTCCTGAATGCACCAATCATTCCTAAAGCCCCTAAAATAAGACAGAAGCATCCAAGGGTCATGATGAAGATGATGATTGATTGAAATGGGGGGTCGATGTCATTCCAGTGTTTGAAAACATAATGTAATCGAAGACCGCCAAAAACAGTGAGCCCGAGACCACATATCTAAATATCTTTTAGCAATTTGGAGGAGAACTAACGAAGGCTCCACAGTTAAAAATGATCAGCAAAACCTGCAAACACTTGTATCCGCAACTGAGCTTCATGAGGTCCAAGAATGCGTGAAAACCTCCCACACCTTTTATAAACATGAAAAGGATCAAGGTCATCCAATATTTTTCCTTGAGCTAGTATAAGCCAATATCCAATATCTTTTTCACGAGCTAGTGTAAACCAGTTTGATTTCTTAGCGCTCGGTTCTTGTTCTTTCGGTACGGTTCCGGGTGTTCGGTAATGTCCAATGGATGGAGGTCTAGCCCCTCGACTGTCTAATTCTAGTCAGTTGGCAGTTGGTTGTGAGTTTGTATGTCTCGGGATTTGAATGAAACGTTTGTCTCAGGGCAGTAGGGTTTCTGGATACTAGCAGCCGTCACATTACCAAACCGGAGATCAGTTAGTTGCAATGTGGAGAGTAATAAGGGTAATAAGGGTAAATTAAAATGATAATATGGGTAAAATTTCAGAACTGAGTAATATATAGATGAGTTTAGTTTATTAATTGGTAGTGAAGATTGTGAGAGAGGACCGGAGTGTAGGCAAGGGAGAGGAATAGGCGAGTTAGATTAATTAAGTGATCTGAGGAGATGGCAATGGTAACAACTAGCAGGTCTCAAGATATGCATCAGGCACAGCTTGTCCAAGAGGGAGATGATAGTCCGCATGTGAGTACGTGATTATCAAGTCTCTTCTTAAAGCAGTCCACTGAGGGGGCTGTAACTACCTCGGCTGGGAGAGCATTCCAAGTTGCGACGACTCGCAATGAGAAAAAGTGTGCGCGAATCTGAGTGTTTGCTCTTTGATGTGCAATCTTTTGAGGATTGCCTCGAGGGGAGCTGGAGTCTATCGTCGTACGGTTTATTTTTCAACCCTATCACCCATTTGGTTGCTCGTCTCTGCACTCGATCCAAGAGAATAATGTCTCTTTTAAGCAGAGGGGGTGCGATGACGTTGTGAACCTCCAAGTGTGGGCGCGCGTACGTCTTAAAGAGGGTTAAAAATAATTTCGGGGTTATAGCACCAAACTGTCTTCGCATAAAGTGAAGAGTCGCATTTGCCTTGGCTGCATCCCCTACATAGTTCGGACTCGTGTGGAGGCTTTCTGTGGTTATTAAACCAAGATCGCGCTCTGAGGAGACATTAGGGAGCGGACTTCCATTGAGAGTGTAGGTGGTTTGCGTCATATGAGGCAGGAAATGCATGACGTGGCACTTCGGTTGGTTGAGTTTTAAACCGTTTTTCACTGCCCATTTCTCAATGGATGTAAGGTCCTTTTGAAGCTCAGTCGAATCCTCTCCGCTTCTAATGGACCTCCAGATCTTCGCATCATCTGCTTAGATCAGTGCCGGTGAGCTAACTAAGCTTAGCAGGTCGTTAATGAATATCAGGAAGAGGAGTGGGCCTAGGATGGTCCCCTGTGAAACTCCTGAAGTGGATACTCTCCAACTCGCGTGCACCCTGTTTACCTTGGTGCGAAACTTTCTATTCTCAAGGTAGTTTCTGAGCCAAGATACGAGTGGGTCAGTGAAGCCCATTTCCACAACCTTTTCGATTAGGCGTGCGTGGGGCACTGTGTCAAGGGTTTTGCGAAGTCGAGAAATACTACGTGCACTGGTATTTTACGGTCCAAGCAGGATGTCCAACTGTCCCATGCGATGAGAAGATTAGATGCACACGACCTGCCTTTCCGAAACCCTTGTTGAGCTTCATGGAGTATTTTATTCTTATCCATGTACTCCCTCATTTGTTCGTCCACTAGCCCTTCCATAACCTTTGACAATATAGGTAGTAGTGCGACTGGTCTGTAACAGGCTGGGTCCTTTCTATCTCCTCCTTTGAAGATTGGAGAGAGAGTAGCTTGTTTCCATTCCGCTGGGAATTGGTGTGACTGCAGTGAATGCCTGAACAGGTTGCATAACGGTGAACAGAGGGCTTCAGCGCACTGTTGCAAGACTATAGGGCGGATGTTGTCACAACCTGGTGACTTACCTGGGCGTAAGGGTTTTAGTTTCCTTAATACTAGGTCAGGAGTGATACGGATGTTCCCTAAGCCGTCAGCTGGCATTGGTTTGGCGTAGTACTCTGAACATGTAGGCGCCTGGTTTAATTGATCAGAAAAACTGGTGTTGAAAATCTCGGCCATCTCTAGGTTGGTGAGGTCTTCCCCGTTTGATCTTTTTAGAGGACACAACCCTTGATTAGTAGGTTTTCTTTTGGACATGAACCTAAACAGATGTTTCGGGTTTGCGTCTATTCTGGCGGCTAGTTTCGTCTGGAATTGTCTCCTGTCGCTTCGAA